GGGGGGGGGGGGGGTTGTCCCCCCCAGGCTGCTCTGAACATGCTTACCAAGTGCCTGGCCCTGGAGTACGGGGGAAGTGGGATCCTCTGCGTGTCGGTGGACCCCGGCTGTGTGACACCTCCCTTGGGACGGGGGATGGTGAGTGACGCGCACAACCACCTTGTCTTGGCAAACTCTCACGAGGATCCCTTCCTGGGGCACCCCTCCCGTGGGCATCCCTTCCCGGGGACATCCCTTCCTGTGGACATCCCTTGCTGAGGGCAGCTCCTCAGTCCCGGGGGACCTTTGCCACCACAGCAAAGGACCAATTACGGGCTCTTCCACCAAAACAATCCAGTTTCCTCCCTATTTTTTATTTCATTTCCCATCCCAATCGCATGTCAGCAGAGGGCACCCTGGCCCCACGCTCAGCAGCAGCGCCGGGGCTGCACCCAGGTTGCTGCCTCTCAGCACCTCATGCACCCGGGGGCCACAATCACCCCAAATTTGGCTTCTTCTCTGACCGTGCCAAGGGGAGGCAGGCAAGGTTGGAGACGAGCAGCCTCTTGCAGTGTATCCGGGCAAGTCTTACTCCCATGCTGGCTTGCGGAGGCAATAAATGAGTCACTTACTAGGAACCATAAAATTAACTTCCATCCTTAGAGCACTCACATTACGGATTATCAGTTTGTGCAAAGCTGCATTCCTTGGCTGCTAGAGCATCTCCAGCCTCTCCCAACCTGCCTGGCTGAAGGTGGCATCCCAGCATGCCCAGGGCTGGGGCTGGGGGTGACAGGAGTGGGGTTTGGGCTCTTTTTTTTTCTTTCCCCATGCCTCAGGGCCCGGTGACGGTGGAGGAGAGTGTTCGGGGCGTCCTGCGGCTGCTGGCCCGGCTCTCGGCCACCAGCAATGGCACCTTCTGGGACTGGCGAGGGCAGAGCCTGCCCTGGTGAGAGTGGTGCCCAGCCACGGTGGCCACTGAGCTCAGTAAAGTTAATTAATTGCCATTATCAGGCTCTCGCTGGTTCTGTGGGGTGAGAACAGGGTCTTGGAGGGGTGACAACTGGGGTCGCTGCCCACCCACCAGAGATGATGAGTTGGGCCAGGGCAGCAGATGAAAGGATGTTCCACCCATGGTCCTGCATCCTGGTGTCAGGCTCTACTGCGGCATCCCCTGGGGCTGAGAGATCCCCCCAGGCAACCTCATGCTGCCTGAGGGGCAGGTCTGGATGTGGCCCCACTCTGTGACCATAAGCCACGCTGGTGGTGGCCCTGGGGACATATTAGACAGCCCCATAACCATAGGGCATCCTTACCAGAGCCCAGCTCTTGTCCTGCTGAGCCTGGCTCCCACATGACACTGTCCCACATGACATCTTTGTCTCTAAGTTAGAGACAGGGATTTGAGACATTGAGTTGATTTGACCAGTTGGGAGATAAGGAATTGCCTTGATGGTCACACTCAAAGCGTTGTGGTCAACAGCTCAATGTCCAAGTGGAGAGCAGTGACGAGTGGCGTGCCTCGGGTCAGTGCTGGGACCAGTGCTGCTTAACACCTTTGTCAGTGACACTGACAGTAGGACTGAGGCACCCTCAGCAAGTTTGCGATGACACCGAGCTGTGTGGTGTGGTCGACAGGCTGGAGGGAAGGGATGTGCCATCCAGAGGGACCTGGACAGGCTGGAGAGGTGGGACTGTGGAAACCTCATGGAGTTCAACAGGGCCAAGGGCAAGGTCCTGCCCATGGGTCTGGGCAATTCCAAGCACAAATACAGGCTGGGGGATGAACGGCTGGAGGGCAGCCCCAAGGAGAAGGACTTGGGGGTATTAGTGGATGGAAAACTATGAGCCAGCAATGTGCCTCACAGCCCAGAAAGCCAACAGTATCCTGGGCTGCACCAAGAGCAGTGTGGCCAGCAGGTTGAGGGAAAGGATTCTCCCTCTCTACTCTGCTCCGGTGAGGACCCCCCTGCAGTGCTGTGTCCAGCTCTGGGGCCCCCAATGCCAGAAGGACACGAACCTACTCAAGCAGGGCTGGAGGAAGCCATGAGAATGATCCCTCTGGCTGGAGCACCTCCCCTGTGAGGACAGGCTGAGAGAGTTGGGGGTGTTCAGCCTGGAGAAGGCTCCAAGGAGATCTTATAGCAGCCTCCCAGTACTGAAAGGGGCTACAGGAAAGGTGGGGAGGGACTGTAGGGATGGGATGAGGGGGTAACAACTTTAAACTGAAAGAGGGAGGATTTAGATTAGATAGAAGGAAAAAATTCTTTATTGTGAGGGTGGTGAGACACTGGCACAGGTTGCCCAAAGAAATGGTGGATGTCACATCCCTGAAGTGTTCAAGGCCAGGTTGGATGGGGTTTTGAGCAACCTGGGCTAGTGGAAGGTGACCCTGCCTGTCTCTTCCAACCCAAACCATTCCATGATTCTGTGAAAACCAGTCAGCCTTTCCATGCCCACCCTGAGGATGCTGATGGTGCTGGTTCAAGACCATCAAAGGCTCTTCCTTTTCCAGCAGCTCGGAGTTTCACAGCAGAAGCATCTCCCAAGCCCTAGCACATCCCTAGGGATGTCTTTTGGGACCTTGGCACTTTGCCCTAGGCTGACCTTCCCTGCATCCATCCTATCTCATGGTACATAGCAAGATGTCAGGCTCCCATTCCCTATCATGTGCATGCACTTCCGTGGCAGCTCTCAGGCAACATTTTTGAAGCCATCCCTCGAAAGAGCAACTGGAAAAAAAAGGTCACATCTCAAGTGGGTACTTGGACTGGAAATGCAGGGCTTTGGCAAGCCTTGAACCCAGCCACTTGCTGCAGGGATGCTCTGGGAAGCCCATCCAGGGTCATTTTTGCTGGGGCAGCTCCATTTTTCCCACGACGGTGGAGCACGGGGAGCTATTCCCACGCTTGCCCTGAGGGAGAGGGAGGTGAGAGCTCAGCCCTGGGGGCTCAGGCAGCCTCAGGTGGGGCCCCCACCCATCCAGGGGCTATTTGTTAAAGCCAGTAGGGATGGGTGAGGGGGTCCCTTGAATTAAAGCCCTTTATCAAGCGGTGGATCACGGTTGGTGGTCTTTATACGAGCTCTGCATGGGCTTTATATAAACACAATCCATTACGAGGCATGAAGGGGGGAGGAGAAGGAGGCGGAGGCGAATGAAGACACTGCATCTGCTCACACTGCAGTGCCCACAGCCTCACCTGTGCCTTCTCATAGACTTGCCAAGCCTAAGCAGCCCCCAGCCAGGAGTACACCAATTAAGGGATCTAATAGCTGATTAAGGTAATTAAGTAGGCTGGAAAAGGGGGAGGCAGCTGGCCAGCCCCCAGCCCCTCCGGCACGCCGCCCGCACAGCACCGCCAAGCACAACAAACAAATCCAGATGTTTTCTTGCCAGGGAAGCATCCGGGGCTGACAGAAGCCGCTCGGCAGGCGATGGCTCTGGGAGTCCCTACACTGGGGCAAATATCTGTCCCACAAAGCCGAGGGCAGGGCCTGACACCCCAAAAGAGGAGGCGGTGAAGGCAGCTCAGGTTCTCTCTGCGGGTCCTTTATTTGGGGTAAGGTCGGAGGCTCCTGGGACCTGGCTGGAAGCTGAGCTGCAACGCTAGAGAATTAACTGGTGTTTAATGAAAGCTGAGGAAAAAATACAAACAGAGGAGTGGGGCGATGCCCTCCCCGCCCCTGCAGGCAGGGCAGGGTAGTGTGTGTCCCCCACCTGGCAGCTGCCTGCCCGTGGGGGGCTGTGTCTGAGCCCACCCAGCCCATGCCCGCCTGGCATTTCGGATGGGGCCGACCCTGTGGCTGTGCACAGTCCCACGGTCCTGGAGGGGGTGGCATTTGTCCCCGCCTTTGCACCTTCCTTAGGGACCCTCTCCAAAGGGCTCTGCTGGGGTGACAGAGCAGAGGCAGCATCCCAGGCTCCAGGGCAAGGAGAAGGCGTCGAGTGAGGGGTCATCTGCGGCGTTAGGTGGACTCCCACCGACCTGGGCAGAGGGGACAGGCGTCACCACGTGGGGCAGGACCCCACACGTGGGAGTGTGGGTGCTCCCCTCCCTGGTTCCAACTCACAGGGTGCCCCATAGAGCATCCGCATGACCTTGAGGCAGTTGTCCAGCAGCGCCTTGGGGCGGACGGGCTTCCTCCGGCTCTCGGCACCTGCACTGTGGACCAGCTTCACCAGGTCGGCCACCACCACTTCCACGTCCGTCTGCAGGGACAGGTCACTGGGGTGTCACCAAAGTCCCTCCCAGGGACACCAGGGTGCAAAATGCTGCTGCTGTTGCATTGGCCGGGAATCGAACCCGGGCCTCCCGCGTGGCAGGCGAGAATTCTACCACTGAACCACCAATGCCAGATGTGGGGCACCCCACGGCCCTGCCCCTCGGCCCCGCGCCCATTGCGGTGGGAGAAGCAGGGACAGAGGGACAGGCACTGCCAGCTCTGAACCTCCTCCCCAGAGAGGGGACCCCAACTGACAGCTCTCATGCCGGGGCTTCAGCCACAACATCCCCTCCTCCTCCTGCCTCAGACATCCTCTCCAGCAAGGGCTGGTTGTCAGTAG